CCTGCGTTCGGTCTCCAGCACCACACACACACAAAAGAACAGAGGAGAAAATTAGAAAAATGTAAACCGAGGAAGCAAGATGAGTTTATACATTGGGGTGGGACTGAGAAAGTTCTACTCTTCTTCCAACTGCCCACCCTCCTGTGCCCGCGCGGATCTGCCATGTTACCTGGTTGCAGAGTGGGTTCTGGAAGGCCAGGAGCTCAGACTTTCTTCCCTTGTGGCCTCTCCCCTTTTGCGCAAGTCGGCGTCTAAGGGAGCGAGCACCCACCTAGCATCTGGACTGCACACGATTGCCACCACTGCCTGCCCCGTTCATAGTTCTACATTTACTTATTTAAGCAAAAATGCAGGAAGACTCCACTGTGGAGTGGACACCATGGTCAGTGTCTGCAGGGACGGGAAACCTGCAGGTCACTCAGGAGGCTGCAGGGACCCTTGCTGTCCTGACACTGCCTGAGGTTCGGTCTGTGAATTAGAGACTCCAATATGAGCTGTTGCTCGGCAAGCGAGGGTGTAAACGCCCATGGCTTTGGCTTCTCGCTCCTTTGCACTTCTGACGTTAGTTGAAGCGGGTTGTCAGGTTGTCCGGACGGCCCCTGCAGGGGGGAGCTGTGCCTCTGACCCCCAGCCAGCAAAGGACGTGAGGCAGGCAGGACGGGGTACTCAGCTCCAGGAGGGTTTCAGACGCAGCCTGCCTGCAGCCTCCGAAGACGTGCCCAGCCCAGGCACCCCGTTTCTGATCTGCTCGGGATAAATATTACTTTAAGTCTCTATGTTTTGGGAGTAGTTTCTCATGCAGCAACACGTAAGTAACAGAAAAGATAATTACAGCTCACCTGCGCTATAGCTGAGGGGATGCAGCTGGATACCAGCTCCATGTCAAGTGTGCAGTGTGACACCTGGGCAGTTATTTGGGGAGATCAAAAAGGGGACCACACCCAGGCTGTGGAGGGAGGGAAGGGGGTAAAGGGTGAGGGAAGATTTCTTGAAGACAGTGCTGGCTGCGAAGCGGCTTCAAGGAGGAGGAGCCATTGGGTGTGGTTGTTCTGGTAGGTGCGAGGCCATTGCCAGGTGACAGAGGCGTCATGTGATGGGAGGGCGGGGTGGACCACACACCCGAACGGTGAGCAGCTCAGAGTCTAGAGTCACCTGCGAGAAGGGAGCAGCGAGGGCTTAGCCCTGGCCCATAGCCTGGACTGGGCCTCCCACTGAGAGGAGGCTCCCATTTGAATTTTTAGTTTTGGAGATAAGTGGCACGTGCTAATTATAGAAAATTTAGAAATCATGAGTGATAAAGAAGAAAATAAAACTCGCTCCTGCAAAGTCAGTAGGAAAAAACATCACCAATACTTTCATACAGTGTTTTTTCTGCTTAGGTGAATTCTGGGACAACTTGGTGAGTTTGGGAGCCGACCATCTTCGGATGCCTCAGCCGTAGCCCTGTAGCTCCAAGAGGAGGAACAGCAAGCTGAGGCCAGCACCTGTCTTCAGTTGCTCTGCTGTGGCCGCCTCGATGTCCTGAACTGATTCAAAACATCTACCTTTCAAGGTCATTTTGACTTTGGGGAAAAGCTGGAAGTCATATGGTGCCAGATGTATTGAATAAGGTGGATGAGGACACACTGCAATGTTTTTATTTGACAAAAATTGCTGTAAATGTTTTGAATAGATTCAGGGCATTGTGGCAGCCGGGAAAAGACACCCTTGAAAGAGAACTTCCAGAGGTGCTTGAGAAAGTGGCAAATTGGGGGGGGGGGCGCACACCTGCAATCCCAGCACTGGGGAGGCTGAGGCAGGACGATCGCTCCAAATTCGGGGCCAGCCTGGACTACATGGTGAGTTCAAAGTTAGCCTGAACTGCATAGCGAGACCCTCAAAAACAAACAAAACAAAACAAAAAGGAAAATGGCAAGACAATGGGATGAGTATGTTCAAAACCAGGAGGAGGATTTTGAGGGGGATTTGTAACAATATATTTTCACTGTAGTAATTTTAAATTTAAATATTCACCATATATTTTGATCATACCTTATCTATTCCTTAGGAAATGTAAAATCTTGACCTTTATTACGGGCTTCATCCACAACAGGGGTTGACAAACATTTTCTGTAAAGATCCAAATAATAAATGTTTTCCATTTTGTGACATAAGGTCTAGGTCACAATTACTGAATTCTGCTATTAAAACACAAAAGCAGCCACAGGTAGTACATAATTGAGTGACTACCTTCTAATAAAACTTTATAAGAACAAATGACTTTTCCCAACGGGTATGACCCATGGACTAGAATGTGTTGATTTCTTTTTTTTCATTTTTTTTTTTTTTATGGTACCGGGGATCAAACTCGGGACCTTGGGCTTGCAAGGCAGGCAGTGGCACCACTGAGCTAAATCCCTGGCCCCTAGAATTTGTTGATTTTTGTTCTATAACATCTAAAAGGTTACTCTGTCAATTCATGGCTTTTTCTTTCCTGTCAGTAATTTGTTTGTATTCAATCCCTTGTTTAAAAAAATCTGTTTTTTCTTGATTTTCCTGTGAGATTTTACTCTATTAACTTCCTATATTATTTCCTAATTAGTTTTGTTTGACACAAATCTTGACTTTTGTGATCTCTAGCTATTCATTTTTCAGACTCCACTTAGTGTTCTTTCCTTTCTATTACCGTACATTTAAGAAAAATTGTTACGGAGATTTAAAAATATGTATAAAATGTAAAAGGCTGATTTAATGAATCCTCACATATGCATCACCCTGGTTCAATGCTATCACAAAAGAGTCAAGCTTCTTTGAATTCTTCCAGTTTTCATTTCCTTTGGCTTGAGTATTTTATTTTTTATTTTTATGTGTTTTTAGCTTTTTGGGACAAGGTCTCACTGTGTAGTCCAGGCTGGCCTTGAACTCACAGCAATTGTCCTGCCTCAGCCTCCCAAATGCTGGGACTACAGGTGTGTGCTACCACCCCTGACAGGCTTGAATATCAATATTTTAAAGATATTACTTCACAAAGGTGGCATGGTGGTGTATACTTATAATCCCAGCAACTGGAAGACTGAAGCAGGAGGTTTGCCACAAGTTTCAGACCAGCCCAGGATACCTAGTGAAACCTTGTCTCAAAAAAACTAAACAGGGCCAGGGATTTAGCTCAGTGGTGCCGCTGTCTGACTCGTAAGCGCAAGGTCCCAAGTTCTATCCCCGGTACCAAAAAAAACCCCAACAAACTAAACAAAAAGAAAAAAAGATACTACTTCCCTAATTTTAGCACTGATTTACTGTCCCCCTTTCAGGGACAAGACTGAACGTATAATGCAGTGGAGTACTGTCCACTCACACTGAAGGATGAAATCCTGTCATTTGCAGCAACGTGGATGGGGCCGGAGAGCACATGCCAGGGGAAAGGAGCAGGACACAGGAGGCCAGGCGCCGTGGCTGTCAGGACGTGTGTTGGGTGGAGCGTGCAGAGGGCGAGGTGGATGCTCCAGTGCTGTGTCAACTTCTATGGAGCCCCATGACTATGTGGAAGGAATGTGTATCAATAAGATGAAGAACAAGAGTCTCCAAATAGAGATGCTTTCTTTCTTTAAAGACAAAGAAAAGAAATACTGATGGAGGCATCGGTATTGTCAGCTTGGCTCCTCCATTATAAAGGTCCTGCTCAAGCTTTCTCCATAGCTGTTAGGAATTTTTGCCCAAATCATTTATTTCACTGGGGATCCAAAGTTGTGACTTTGTGGTTCTGATGTTTGGTCTGTGTGTCAGCTAGAATTCTTCTGTAATGTCTGATAGATTCTGGACGGGGGGGTAAACTTATCTTGTTCCACTTCTAGATGGAAAGTTTAATTTCTTTACTATAAAATATAATATTGCTGTTAAAGTTAAAAAGCCTTTTATCAGGTTCAGAAAATTTTCTTTTATGTCCAATTTTCAGAGCTTTTTAAACCAGGAATTGATTTTGAGTTTTATTAAATTATTTTTCTGTATCTGCTGAGATTGTTTTTTCCATTATTGTTAGTAGGATATATATATTCTATCACATATAAAATATATGTAAAAATACTACATATTTTTCATTAAAAAATAAACTTGTATTATTTGGGTTCCTCGAGAAGTGGACACCAGGAAGGGTGAGACGTGAACGGGGTGTGTTGCTGGAGCTGACGACAGTCGGCAGGGGACAGGAGGGCGGGCAGGGAGACTCCGCCACCCCTGTGCCGTCCACAGGACAGAGGAGGAGGCCGACTGCTGCAGCTTCCGGAATGTCCTGACCCCCTCGACAGGAAGGTTTTGTGCTGCTCACCGCTCAGAGACCAAGCTCCTTCTGAGACCAGCTCCTTCCTGAGCTTAGTCGTGGGCTGACGTGCTGGGGAGACACGGCTTCACCCTGAGCAGTGTGGGCCCAGAGGGGGCGCTGGCAGTGACAGCCTCTGGAGCCCCACCGCAGGACCTCCAAGTGGGTCTCCTTGCTACAACTTGTGAGGGGTCGGGGCAGCACCTCCAGACGGGGAAGGAATTAACCAGTGCTCGGACCTCTGGTCTGTGCAGGTTGGAGCTCCACCACCTGCTAAGCCATCCAGACCTCCTGAGGTCATAGTCAAGGCTGTGGAGATTTAGAATGAATTTAGTGAGCACGAGCTCTGGCCCCAGTGAGGAATCACAGAGGCAGAACCACCTCGCCTCACCCACCTCCCTCTCGAACATGTCTCTGCGAGACCTCAGAACTTCTGCCTAGAGTGGGGTGGAGCAGCGAGTCTGTGTGGCACACGGGGTGAACACAGGGGGACTGTGGTGGCCGTGACTGTGTGCCCGTCTTCTCTCACGCCCTTCACAGGTGTGAGTTCACTACAGGAACTCGTGGGAGAGTTAAAAAGAAAGAAACCCAGAGTACAGGAAAGAACAGCCAAGAAGCCATATGAGAAAAGACTGATGGATGCAACTACATAAAACATTCGGCATTGATAAAAGCTTTATGTAAAGCTAAATGTCAAAAGACAAACCAAAAATTGGAATTCATATCACAAACCCCTGAATTCTTTAATATATGAAGAACTCTTAAATCAACAGGAAAAATCAGTGTTATTCTCAGTCTTGACAGATAATGACCAAAAGCTCCAACATCTCAATGGCTTAGACAATGGTTTAGTTCTCAGCTGAGCTTTGGATCCACTGTGGGTGACTGGGGCTGTTTTCCATCCTGTCTTCAGTGCAGGACTGATGCTCATTAGCAGCTACTTCCTGACACATTCCTGGTCACTGTGTTAGAGGGAAAGGGAAGCACAGGATCTTGTACTGGCAACTTAATGCAGGCCTGAAAGTGGCCCCCTCAACCCCTCTCCCCCAAGGCCTGCCCAAGCCCTGCAGGACCACACTGCCAGGTTCTATGTCCCTGGAAGGCGAGAACTTGATCCCAGTGAGCAGAAAGGTGGTCATGCTATCCATCCACTGTCTACAGCTTATCTGGTTTCTCCACTGAAGGTCTAGTCAAAGAAAGACGATGGCATATTTCATTACATTTCACATGTTGGTTATTAAAGAAGTAAAAGATGCCTCTCTTTCCAAAATTGGTAGTGACATCTTTCTGATCAACAGAGTGAATCTGAGGGTCTGTGAGGTAGATGAGCCCCTTTCCATTACCAGTCACCCAACCTAAAAGAAAAATGAAAAGAGCTGAGAATTAAACCCCTTACCAGTGCCAGTCACATATACACACACGAAGTCTTGAAGAGGTACTTTAGAAACTCGGTCATCTTGTCTTGTTTATTTTATTTTTTGTACCAGGAATCAAACTCAGGACCTTGTGCTTGACAGGCAGACATGGTGCCACTGAGCTGCATTCCTGGCCCAAACTCAGTCATCTTGAGGTTTACATTTAGTAAGCTTCTGCTGAGGATTTGGCTTGGGTTGCATATTTTAGTTATTAGCTTAAAAAGGAGAACTGAACATTAGGTAATTACATTTGTCAAATATGACATACCCAGATTACCAATGTTCAAGACATAAGAGAGCAATAAAGAGGATGTAGAATAACTCTTAAGATCACAGTACTATATATTTCTTCCATGACTCAGAAGCTTAGCTATGCCTGCTGCATTGATGTGTATCTACCTTGTTCATTTAACAGGTACTCACCGAGTGGGGACCCAGACAGGCCGCAGGCCCTGCGCCATGGCAGGGAGCACTCGGTGAGCACACATCCTCAAAAAGGAGACCGGTCAACAAACTACAGTAAGTAAACAGGTACCATGACAGGGAGTGGAAGACGGGATAGGTCTTGGGGTGGTCATGGAATCATTATTAAAAATAATAAATATAGGGCAGGGGATGTAGCTCAGTGGTGCTGCATCTGCCTGGCAAGTGCAAGGTCCTGACTTCGACCCTGGCACCAAAAAAAAAAAAATAGTTTATCATTTATATGAAGTGTAGAATATTTGCTAATAAGAATTCTGATGTGGGGCTGGGGATTTAGCTCAATGGTTTTGCCGCCTGTTGCACAAGCACAAGAACCCGAGTTCGATCCCTGGTACCAAAAAAAATAAAAAATAAAAAGAATTCTGATGTGCATAATACCAGACAAACTGAAACAAAATTAAAGTATTAACAGAGAATTTTAAAAAGTCAGACTCCAGTAGACATAGCTTTCTATTTCATAATGATTCCAATTTTGAAACTTAGCATCATATTTTTTATTTGTTTGTTTTTGAGACAGAGTCTTCCTATGTGGTTCACGCTGGCCTTAAACTCTCTATGTAGCCCAGACTGACCTTGAACTTGTGGCAATTCTCCTGCCTCAGCCTCTGAAGTGCTGGGATTCCAGGTGTGCACCACCATGCCCTGCCACATTTTTAATAAGTGTAAAGGGCTAGAGAAAAGAAAATGTGCAAGGAAAATTTTGTCCTGTGGAAAACATCCAATAATAAGAAAGTTACATCACTCAAGCCCACTTGGTGAAGAAAAAAATGGTTATTGTGTATTTGCTCTGGAATTAAACCCAGCAAAATATGAGTCATTTCTCACTGATTATACGACATTTTAGACACTTAGAGAAGTTTCAGACATTGTTTTTTTTCAGGAATGATTCATTATATGTGAAATATGTTTCAAAAATACAGGAAAATTTAAATTAAAAGTTTATTACAGTAAAACACACATTGCCATTAATCTCCATGAAAATACTCCCCTTCCTTTGAACACACTTATTCCATCATTCTTGCCACTGTCTGAAGGATTTCTTGAATTCCTCTTTCATGAGTGTCTTTAGTGCTGCTGTGGCTGCCTTGTCCTGCATGGATTAAAAATGTTTGGCTTTCATGGTCATTTTGATTGTGGGGAAGAGCCGGAAGTCGCATGGTGCCAGATCCCGTGACCAAGGTGGATGAGGACATGGCATCATGTTTTTATGAGCTTCCTTTCTGCTGGATGGCAAGGGCAGCAGGATTCACATTTTGGATCACACCTCATAAAGACACTAAAGAGGACTTCTAGAGCTGCTTCAGGAAGTGGCAAGAACAGTGGGATGAGTGTGTGCAAAGTGAGGGAGAGGATTTTGTGGGAGGTTCATGACGATGTCTTTAACTGTAATGAATTTTTAAAAATTAAACATTTGCTGTATATTTTGATTACTCTTTGTATAGTAAAATCAATTAATTCCAAATAGTGGCCTATACACTGAACTATCTATTAAATAACGATTAATGAAGCCAGTTATGAGAATTTACATTGACATATAATATTTAATATAAAAATAATTCCTAGTTTCACATACCTTGTAAATCAACCACAACATCTCTATGATTAGAAAACTCATAAGAAAAATGGCCATAAGCTAAGCCATATTCTGTTGCTTTGTATTCTGTTTTCACCAGTTTCGTGTTATTTGATAATTTTACAAATTCTCCCAGTATGTAAGGTTCTACACTGATACATCCCTTTATTGTGTTGCCTTCTAAAATCTGAAAAATAGAATGGGAGGCAGGATGGCATAATGGTTAGGGTCTCAGCCTCCGGGGTTGGGTGGATCTCTGGTGGAATCTAGGCTCCCTAACTTAGGAACCTCATACCTCTCCTTCTCTACACTTTAACCTCCTGGGCTCTAATATGGGCATAATGTTAATAATAACAATATTTAGATTTGTTAAAAGGGTTATAGGAGAAAATGCCAGGTCAGTGCTCAGTGTTGTGTGTGGCATAAAACAGAACTTGAAGCTATTATTGTTCATCTACTAAACTGTCCATAGGAAGCTTGGGCCCTGAAGCGACTGCCCAGCTTCACGTGCCAGGGCCTGTGGGTAGAGAGTGTCCTGGGCTCCAGGCTGGAAAACTAGCCCAAGCCCCTCTGTGTGACCCTTGGTGGAGCTGCTGCAAAGCTTAGGGTGAAAGTCTGTAAACTGTGTAGGAATACCTGACATAAAGAAAGTACAAGCGGGATGACAGCTATTGTTATTATAAATGAAAAAAATAGGTCAAAAATGTCTCTGGCCAATGGAAAAAACTAATATATTTGGAGAGGTAGGATATTCTTGATCCAAGGAAGGGAAAACTCAGGAAAGGCATATTTAGTGAAGAAAGATCCATCTCAATGGTCTGGCAAGACAAGAGCTGTGATCCACGGGTAGGAGACAGAGCAAGGTAGATTTGGGCTGAAGCCAAGAACTTCCCAACAACTAGAATTACTTGAAAGCAGAGTGATAATTATTTATTCTTACTGACTGCTTTGAAGCCATAGCTTAGCATCACTTGGTTGCAAGGAGTAAGGACTAACAGATGTAAAATGGGATTTATGCATCATGTTAGGAAAACAGTTTGTCCAAGATATATCTTTATAGTCCTTTCTCTCGCTGCAAGAGCAGAGGCAATACAAAAGGAAACTCTGCCAAAATGCTAACTTGACCACATGGGACCAAACATCAGCGCCAACTGATGACGCGAGTCCAAGACCCAAATGATGTGCTGTGGGACAGAGGGCTGTGTTTCTTGCGCATCTACGAAGACGAAGCTGAGGAAATGGATGGGGAGCCCGGGAACTGAGATGACTGGATTTTACCAGAACAGTGGTGGAGGGAGACAGGCTGGCACTAGAAATCTACCCTAACATGTTTGTAGGCCGTTTAATCAGGCACTTGCTTTTTAAGATCTTACCAGTAATACTGTGGACGGGATGTAGAATATCTGTGTCGGGATCTTCTGCTCATACAGTCTCTTGTTAAACTCTGTCACGTAGTGCTGTGCAGTCATCTGCCTCTCCACATCAATGAAGTGGTGCCAGAGCCCCTTCTGCTCTCGGTATTCCTTCCCAACATACCTATGAGGGCGAAGACCGTGCAACAAGACGTAAGAGCCACCTTCTTTAGTAGAGAGTCAAGAGAGAGGTGTTATGGCTTGGATCTAAGATGCCCCCCAAAGTCTCAAGTGTTTGCAAGGTGACTGGTGCTCTGCTCATCAGTGGATTCATCCAGTGCCGAGTTCACTGCTGAATGTGTTGTCAGCAGGTGGGGCCAGCCAGGTGGGTGAGGTGGTCACCGAGATGTGACCTGGAAGGGTGTGTTCTTGCCCCCAGTGCCCCCCTTTGGTGTCTGCTTCCTGGCTGCCATGGCTTTAGCAGTTTTCCTCCACCAGGTCCTTTCTGCCTTGGAGCCAGTCAACTTTGGACTGAGCCTCCTGGGACCATAAACCAAATAAACCCTCCCTTTAAGTTGTGGGTGTTGGGTATTTTGTCCCAGCAATGGGAAAGCTAATACTACAGGAGATAAAAAGAGATATGCAAAAATACTTGAAAAATATTATTTTCTTTACCTTACATCAGCAGTATTATCTTGACTTAGCTCATGATTCAAATAATTTTTTAAGAGCTACCTGAACAATGACACACACCTCATCTTAACCAGACCAGAGTGACAAGACTGCAAGGAGAAGATGTCCACTTCACGTGGCAGCTCTCCAGGCCTCTTCGGTAAGCCAAGGAGATGAGCATGGTGTACTGGGGAGTACATCTCCGCTGGGCTGTTTCACCTCCTGCAGTGTGGCCTTGTACCTGTCAGCTCTTTGCTCCTTTGGATACTCATTTCCTATAAGCACAGCAATGTGCTAGTCCTGAGTGTGCTGAAGAAAGTGTGAGATGTGATTTGTATATTTCAAGGGCTTACAGTGCACTTGAAGGGGGAAGATAAAAGTCAGTAAAGGATTATGGACAATGGTAAGTACTATACTTTATTGTAGTTTATTCTTGCTATAAGCTGCTGTGAATTTATGAATAATTTCACATGTGCCTGGAAGGAATTGTGAATTGTCAAGGGTCACAGACCTCAGTGAGAGTGAACTGTTTCCAGCATGAAACGGAATTTGGGGAGGGTAATTTTAGCCATTCAGACCCTGAGGATCAGCAAGGAAATCTTGACAGTGGAGGCTACAGAGGGGGAGCCCACAGGGCATCAGGAAGTAGCGCCCACAGAGGAACCACTATCCTAAGAGCAGCATCTCAGTGCTTTTGGCAATGCTGTTATGGAGTGACCCTGAGGCCTGCAAAAGCTTTGAGCCAATTCACAATTTAGCTTTTGTTGACCAAGGCTAGAGGTGTGTATCAAAGGAAAAACCCTGTGAGGCTGGTACTGAAGCATTCCCTGGGGGTTCCCTGCTAGAGGACCTCCTGCCTCATCGGTGTGAGAACAGAGAACCATTCCTTCTCTGAGGTAGTGCCATTTTCCTGGGACCATTTTTCTTTGGTAAGGGTTTGTGAGTGGTAACCTCTCACTGTCATTTTTCTGTTAATTTGTAATGGTCTTTATTTTGCCTTCCATGACAGGAAAGTACAAGACTTCCACTTCAAGTACATGACTTCCATTGTTCCTGACTTCTATTGTTGCCACTGAAAAATCAGCTGTAAGTCTAATGGACATTTTGTTGTAGCTAATCATTTTCATCTACCTTTAAGACTTTGTCTTTGCTAGTCTGAAGTTTGACTACTATGTTCCTAGGAGTGGGTTTATGATTTCTTTCCTTCCTTTCTTCTAGTTTCTTATTTGTTTGCATTTCTACCCTCCTTGGAATTCATTATGTTTTGTACATTTGAAGATTAATGTGTTTTGACAATTCTGGAAAATTTCCGGAACTCTATTCAATTATTGCTTCTATTTGCTTTATTGTCTTCTCCTTCTCCTCCTTCTTCATTTCCTCCCCTTTCTCCTTCTTCTCTTTTTTGAGACAGAATCTCACGCTGTAATTCAGGCTGGCCTTAAACTCTGTAGACCAGGCTGGCCTTGAACTTGCAGCACTCCTCCCGCCTCAGCCTCCCGAGTGTTAGGATTACAGGTGTGTTCACCATGCTTGGCTATCATCTTCTGATCAGACATATATTGACTATTATTAAAACTATTATTAAAACCATTATTACTATTATTCTTATTGCTATTATTAAAACAATCAACTTTTAAAGGAATACATTTTTATTGTTTAAAAAAAGTCATTCTCCCTCTTTCCTTTATTTCTTAAATTATTTGGTTTTGGGTAAAGTACAGGGTCAATTTAAAAAGTTTTGGCTTATAGGTCTATTAAAATTTAAAAGTGGTATAAAATTAGGCATCACTAATTTTTCTAGTGGGGTTTTGTTTAAAGTTTTCATCAAGCACTAAGGCCAAACAGAAACCTTCCCAGGCACTGGGCTCAGTGGGGTGGGCTTTCTTAAGATCACCTTTCTGTAGAGGATGCAGCCATTCCTGAGTCCCTGCATTTCCCATGAGGTCTCTGAGCTCCTCCCTTCCAGGTGTAGCTTTTGTCTCTAGCTGCTCCCTCACCACACCTGCCCACACTTCCACAGAGGGTGCCTGAGAGTTCGGTGATCACTTATATCCTGGGGCTGCTTCATCCCTGGCCTCAGAAGATTTCCTGTCATTTCTAGGCTCATCAACTTACTTAAGAGTATGGCTTTCATAGTGTAGCTAACCTTTTTGCTAGCATTTTCAGTAAGAATGCTTAAAATTCCTTGGCCTACCAGATGGCCCAGAACTCCCATTTTTCTTATCTGTAAAATGGAGTGAAGCATGTCTCCCTGTTGGATCTGGGATCATGTATCTAAAGCATGCAGCAAGGTGGCTGATATAACCTGAGTCTCCAAAAAGTGGTAACTGTCATTAGTGAACTAGAGATGAAGAGGAAGTGGAGGAGCAGTCTGAAAACATACATTTTGGCCATTTTCTCCAGCCCTTTTAGGATCTTAGGAATGATTCATTAGAGAAGATAAGATTAGCCCATTCTACAGTGCCAACACAGAAGTTTTCTCAAATACCTCCCCAGAGTTTCTTCTTGGTGAAGATAGTGAACCCAGAAGGCATTTCTCTGCTTTCCTTTCTTCTTCACATTCAGGTAGTCCCCCGAATACACAGCAGTTTCTTGGGCTGTCCACAGTTCAGACTTTTTGGAATATTTTAACAGAAGAGCATCTAGAAAAAAAGATATAATGAAAATGGGTCTAATTTTCAAAAAGATGTCACAAATCATGAATAAAGTTGAAGTTACACAAGTCCTAAAATACCTCATTTGAAATCTCCAACTTTTTAATATATTTTCTCAAATTTTGGCCTCTTCTAGGACTACTGTTAAAAAGGTGATAAAGTACAAGACTGAGGTAACACTTTGTTATAGTAAAGAACAGTGTATGGGTTCAGCCAACCTGACAGACACCATCTTGAACTGTAGCTGTCATGATGGCAGCTGACTAACTGGTCAGTATTTTTTTTTGCAGTTTCCCAGCATACTACAAATGAGCACAATCATTAGTATGACAGTACAGCTTGTGACTGGAGCCTGCTGCTGCCAGTACCAGGAGCACATCTGGTATTTTTGCCAGTAGCTTGAGATAAACCAGATACATTCTAGTCTGGAGGAAGTCACTTTTGTACTGATCACCTTGTAGGCGTGCACACTTCTGACCCATGTTGTGGAGATCCACTCTTGCTGCCATCCAGAACCGTGCTTCTGTCTGTCATTAAGTCCCCACTTAGCTGTACTCTGTGGAATCCTGGGTCTGCCTGCCTCTGTTTCCAGTCTACCAGCATCTTGGGGCAGGTTCTCAAATGCCAGAAAGAAATTGTTTTAGAACAAGTGGTCGTTAATTCACAATTTTTTTGTTTCAGAAGACAAAGGATTAAGCTTAGATCTCGGTGTGGTGGTTCATGCCTATAACTCCAGCTACTGGTGTGTGTGTGTGTGTGTGTGTGTGTGTGTGTGTGTGTGTGTGTGGTGTGGGAGGATGAGGCAGGAGGATGGCAAGTTTAAGCCCAGGCTGGGCAACTTAGCAAGGCTCTGCCTCAAAATAAAAAATAAAAGGGCTGGAGATGTAGCTCAATGGGAAGGCCCTGGGTTCAATCCCCAGTGCAAAACAAAGACAAACACAATAAAATACAAACAAAAAGGGCTGGGGATTTAGCTCAGTGGTTCCACTGCCTGCCTCGAAAGTGCAAGGTCCCGAGTTCAATCCCTGGTACCAAAAACAAACAAACAAACAAACACCAACAGTTTTAAGCAAGCGCACTTCTAAGGAGGAAGAACAACATGAACTCTAAAAAGGAAATACAACACTTTGGTATCCAAGTTAAAATTCAGTGAGCAAAAATTACCTGTGTCTAGATGTAAGGGGAATTAGTGAGACAGGAGTCAGGATTCCATTAGGTGATAGGACAGTGGCCCCAAGCGGAGTCAGGAAGGTCAAAATGGAGGCTTTGGCATCCCACCCCTCCAGGATCTTACAGAAACGTGTCAGATGTCTTTCAGGTGTCTGGGGCCTGCTCAGAGCATGACAAGACAGGCCAGTGGCTCAAGGGACCATAGGCCCTTCATGAACACTGGGTAGACTGGCCCTAAAAAGTATGTATTTTCCTAAAGGGCAGAGCTTATATTGCTTACACAACAGCCCAAGCACCCTCAGAAGTCCCAGACCAAGAGCCCTCCTGGGTACCCCACTGAGAACCTCTCCCAGCTAGCGGGAGCTTCACTTCCTCTTACCGCTACTTTCTTGCCTTTGGATCTTTCACATAGATGTCCCTACATCCTACCTCCTTCGTCCTCGGTTTCATTCACTGTCACTGCAGGACATGACCCAGCATTCCTTTAACACAGGCTGTGATAATGAGGCAATTTGAATAAAGACTTGGGAACAAAATGCTTAGGATAATCCACAGCCTGGTGAAGGCATGACTGTGGGTGGGGAGGTGGCAATCAGGATGGGGACTCCATGAGAAGCTGGGACAGAAATCAAGGGGTGCTGCTTGCTCACACATAGGGAGGGTGGTGAATTGAGGGAAAGACAGAGAAGTGGGGTGGGCTTGTTTTGTTTCTCCAACTTTTGGCCTCATTTCCTCTACTGCGGTTTTCCACCCACAAATTGGCCACAATAACAATGAGTAACAATAAAGCAATTACCTAATTTTAAGAAACAGGATTCTGATTTTGCAGCATCTCTGAGTAGTAGTGAGGTAGGATCGAAGAAATAAAGACAGGTAGGAAGGAGACAAGGAAAATCAGAGTTTTAAAACTGTACTTTTGCAGGGCATGGTGGCGCATGGCTGTAATCCCAGCATTGGGAAAGCTGAGGCAGGAGGATCACTGTGAGTTTGAGGCCAGCCTGGGCCACATAGTGAGACCCTGTCTCAAAAGAACAACAACAACAAAATTGTACTTTTAAGAAAACTGCAATTTAAGGAACACAAAGTGACCCAAGGTCATCCATATCCGTATTTCATGTCTTACCTCTGTGCTCATTTCTGTTCCCTAGGGTTGGTTACGCCTCTTAGATTTGCTTTTCCTAGGGACCACCACACCACAGTCCCTTAAAACACTGTAAGGCCAAGATCTAACCTAGCTCCTAAGGGCAGTGGCCTGAGCTCAAGATGAAGAAACAGAATCAAGGGGTTCAGAGAATGTTTTTGGCCAAACTTAGACCACCTGTGTCAGAGGATGCCTCTGCGAAGGCACCACAGCCCGGCCCCAGCTCACGCTGCAGCTCCCTCTGTTCCAAGCATGGACTTCCGGAACTCCTCTCACGCCCGCCGAGCCACTCTCAGGCAGCCAGAAATGCTTCTCCTGTCAGGTGAAGGCAGTGAACCCACCCCTAGGGGAGGGTGAGCTCCCTTTCTCTCCGGAGGACCCCACCTGGTGACAGTAGGGAAACCCTATTACCTACCGCGTCGTGTCACTTGAATCTTCAAGGTGACAACCTGATTTGTCTTTCACCCGACTTCAAGGTGGCAGCCAAAGCTCAGACCTCGAGGCAGAAATTCTCAACTGTGGCTTTACAGGAGTTGCTGAGAAGCTCCTAAAACTCCCTGTGTGGACCCACACCCAGGGCCCACTTGTCGGGGACCTCCAGGGCGAAGCATGAGAAGTTTTAAAAAGCTCTCTGAGGCCTTCTCAGCTGGTGCCAGATTAAGAACTATCTGAGACGCGTTCTGCAGGAGATTTTCTCTTGGGAAGCGACGCTTCTATGTAGTGGGAGGGCACCCTGACACCATTCCCTGGACCGAGAGTAGGGCCTTCGTCGAGTTCCAGCTGCCCCACTATTTATATACTTTGTACGCAGTACTGGGGATCAAACCCGGGAGCGCTCCACCACTGCACTATACCTCCATCCCTCTACTTTTCACTTTGAGATGGGGTCTCCCTAAGTTGTTCAGACTGGCCTTGAATTTGTGATCCTCCTGCCTCAGTCAGGGGCCACTGTGTTTGGCTCCTTCCTCCCTTTAAGCTGTGCTAGCTGTCCTGACTGCGAGGGCCCACCCAGCTCCCTGTTTGGGAGCAACTTCAGGTGTAAGAAAGGGGTAGCTGTTGACGGCAGCTGTACTCCCCCCAATTCCTGTGTGGAGCTGCTAACCCCAGACAGTGGTGTTAGGGGCACAGCTCTGAGGAGGGTCAGGCCCTGAGGGTGTGAACGTAAGGAGGAGGGCGTTTGCTCCCGGCCTGTGAGGACAGAGGAAAGGCGCTGTCCCGGACCAGAGGGCAGCCCTCCCTAGACCCTGGGGCGCCAGCACCCTGGCTTGGATCCCAGCATCCAGAGCCAGGGGAACCCGATCCTGCTGCCTGTGGTCTGCTCAGCTCCAGGTATCTGGCCACAGCACCCAAACTGATGGAGCTACGGGCACCTGACCTGTCCACTGCTGCCAAGAAACCGCTTGGTGGACAGTGTGAGAGTCGGCCCACAAGGGTGAGAGTTCACTAGGCTGGGCTGTTCCCCTGAATCTGAGTGAGAAAACAGAGACACCAGCTAGTTCCTACAGAGAAGCAAAGCGGACAGATGTGGAGTGGACGACTTGATGTCCTGAGTTATTTTAAAGCCCACATCGTGGTGGCCCAGTCCTCCAGGGTTCCTGACCCTTTCTGCCCCTCTTCCCCTTTCATCTTCCCTCCCTCCCTCCTTCTTTCTTTTTAAACTGAGGGCTTTTGCACTGAGCTACATCCCCAGTCCTTTACAATTCTGTTTTTCTTGAGACAGGGTCTCACTAACTCATTACATTGCCCAGGCTGGCCTCAAACTTGTGATTCTCCTGCCTCAGCCTCCCAGAGTGCTGGGATCACAGGGGTGCACCAGCAAACCTCCACTGTGGGAGGCAGCACACTCGAGTCTCTCCTTTGCAGCTATTAAGGTCCCCCCACGAGGGGAGAGGGAGGCTCCCTTTCCCTGTGAACTCACGGACAACTTAGGCACAAGCCCTAATGCACGTTTCACAAGCTTCAGATGGTCCACCCCATAAGCTCCTCCCAGGGGCACAAGTGCGGATGCTTACTGTGAGCTCTGTGCAGCTGGCTGGGCTTGAACTCGCCCATGTTCTCCAGCCTCTGCAGCAGCCAGCCGTGGCCCACGCCGGCCAGCAGCTTCTCCAGGTCAGCGGGCTGCAGGGTGCGAGTCTCCATGACCTCCTGCCGCGTCATCCCTGGCCAGGACTCCACGGAGCTTCCGCTGGAATTCAGGAAGGACCAGGAGTTCTCCCGGTCAGAGGAGCCGCAGGAGAGTGCAGGCGACTTCAGCCACCAGGCCAGTGAGGAGCCCAGGTTCTGGCTGCAGCTGAGCGCGTGTCCAGCTGCATCTCCCTCCTCCGTGGTGGCACAATCCTGGCTGAGGACCTGGAAGGGGGTGCTGCTGCCTGCAGGGGGGCTGGGGGTCCCCAACCTTTGCCCCAGTGGCTGCCTCGGAGCACCTGGTGGGCTGGGGCCAGGTTCAGCTGTGGAGGGGACCCGGGCACTGCCAAGCAAGTGGCCCCCTTTGTCCTCCATGGGGGCATCAGGGTTGATGCCCAGCTCTTCCATGGAGCCACCAGCCTCGCCCGAGCCAAGATGTTGAAAGAGAAAACCGGGAAGGAAAGAGCCACACTGCAGCCTGGCACTGTTGCCCCGTGAACCACCCAGTGCGGTGAGATTGCCCAAGGGTGCATTGTGGGTGCCTTCTACTGTCTCTCCTTTGGGGTCCACCCACGAGGGGACATCTTCACATGCGGGGCCTGCGCCCCAGTCACAGACTTCTGCAGCTTCTGCCCCAAGCCCATCTGGGACATCACAGCTGGTTTCTCCAAAATCAAGGATCTCAAAGGCTTCCTCTCCCACGGGATGGCATGCGGCCCTGTCTGTGTGCAGATCAGAGTCAGACAGAAAAGCACAGGAGGGCATGGAGGGAGTAGGAGCATTTTGGGGGGCCCTTGCCGACCCAGACAGCCCAGCAGCAGGGGCCACCCAGGCATAGGGAGTGCAGTGGGGAGGGAAGGCAGCTGAGTACAGGGCTTTGTGTGCCTGACCTGGTGAAAGCGCTTCATTGTTGCCCTGGGGTGCCTGGAGGGAGGGACCAGGGAGGTCTGAAGACAGTAAGCACAGGACCCTGCTGTCCACATGCCTCTTGGGCTCCTCGAATGAAGTGGAGGGCCAAGGGGCGTCCATGAAGGCCTCTGCTCTGCTGGCTGACCCGGGCTCCTTGGGATAGTTCAGCTGCTCCCAGCTCGCAGAGGAGCTCAGCCCAGACAGCGACAGCGCACCCCAGGTCCAGGAGCTCCTGCTGTCTCCCGGTGACTTGTTCAAAACATCGCCACTGTGACCAGGTGGCTCCCTCTCCTTCTCCACCTCTTGATCCAGGGCAACTGGGAAGGCCTCAGAGTGAGCCCCGGCTACCCTCCCCATCCACCCTGGCTTCTCACCACTCTCTGCCATCCAGGAGGAGGCTGTGCCCTGGCCTCTGGGAGGCCGCACTTCACACTGAGTGGCACTCATGGTGTCCAGAGTTATAGTTTCTGTTTTTAAGGCAGTGATGCAGACTTCTGTTTTTACTTTTTTCTCTTTATTCTTGCTGTTTCTGCAGGTGCTTTGAAAAACCTCGCACACTGAGGTGTGGTGCTGCGAGTGGGCTGTGAGGATGCTTTGGAAATCCACTCTTCCATGCAGGACAGGTCCATCCAAGCTGCACTTGAAGCTGTCCGGAATGTAGGACCTGTCGTCCGAATTTGAGAAGCTCTGGACCTGAAAGTGACCCTTCACAAGGCTGATCCCAGACAGGATTTCGTGGGGCAGAGCCTCTCTATCCTGACTCCCTGAGGAGGAGCCGAACCTGTACAGCATCCCCAGAGCTTCAAGACAGAGCCGGCTGGCCTCGCACACGGCGTCCGTGTCCCCGTGGAGTCTCCGGTGCACGGTGGTGAGGCTGAAGGCTGCCTTCAGCAGGCTGTGGAGCTCCTGCTTCCCCGTGGCTGGCTCGTCGACGTCCTTCTTGGTCAGGAGGCCGATCTCGAAGGCCTCCTTGGCCTCATACAGATACGAGCTCCTCTGGTCTGGAGGGCAGCCCCTGGAGCTGCTGTATGACAGCAAGCATGTGCCGCGGACGTTCTGGGGAAACAGCAAAAGCAACATCAGATGCTGAACTGGGCTGGGAGGCAAGCCAGGACATATTTTCCATTTCTAGATGATAATCATTTAAAATTTCTTTTTTGGTACCAGGGACAGAACTCAGGACCTTGGGCTTGTCAGGCAGGTGCTGTGCCACTGAGCTAAATCCCTGGCCCAATCATTTAAAATATTATAGGAAAATAAATACATGCTGCATATATTCTAAGGAAAACCCACCACTGTTTAAGCAAATGGCGATACAAAGGAGTAAGAAAGAAGCTTTAGCTGGGTGTGGTGGTGCAGGCCTGTATTCCCAGCACTTGGGAGGCTGAGGCAGGAGGATTACTGTGAGTTCCAGACTGACCTGGGCTACATAGTGAGTTCAAGGCCAGCCTGGACTACACAGTGAGACCCTGTCTCAAAAGAAAGAAATGAGCTTTAGCTCCCATCCTGCAGTAGCCCCGCTGTCTTTTGATGGGGATGCACATCTACGGCCCTGCTGGGTTAGTTTCAGCAAAGTCTGCATGGGATACGCACAAGTCTCTCTGAAATAAGGCTGCTGTTTACAGACACAGCATCCGCTACTGACAGCCCACACAGGAGCTGGGGCTCTCAAGCCCATCTGCAGAGCTGAATCCACCGAAGACAGTCACCCCTCACACTCAGAGACTCGCTTCTGGGACCCCCATGGGTGACAGCACCTGGACAAGCTCAGGTCCCTTATATATAACGGGTGGCTTTACCCCCACGCATTCTTCCTGTTGGTTCTGAGCCCAAGGTCGGGGACTCTCCTTACCACTGCCGTGAGCACGAACAGGGGTGTGTAGGCACTGAAGGCTGCTGCCAGCTTGCAGGCCTCCGCCACTGCCAGCAACCGGTGAAGTCCTGGAGCAAGGCCTGGGACACAGGAGACAGAGCATCAGACTCACACACAATCACAGGCTGCGGGCGTCTTTCCGTTCTCTCGGCACTGCACACCTCTCAGAACTGGGGTCAGAGAGGGGCCTGACAGCAGCCAGGCAGCTGTGGCCCTGGGAACGCACAGAAGTTGGGGCTCTTCAGAGAGGGCGGCAGCACGCTGCTCAGGCAACCCTGACCACTGTGCAGTCAGGTCAGGTGCTTTCTGCATGGCCGTGTCAGGAAGCCCTTCATTTTATCCTTTTAGTTTATGAAAAAACCCATATTTAAAAACCAAATAATAAGTTACCATTACACCGTGTACCATCATCTCAAAGTAGTTACACAGTGCATAACATAAACCCAAAAGGCTCTTACAAGCAAAGAAGCAGGTAACAGCTCAAACTTCTTTTTCAGTGAACTAAGGGACTGGGCAGCACAGCAATAAGCCAAGTGCACAGAATTCCAGGTGGTGGTCAGTGTTCTGAGAAAAAAATAAATGGAGAAAGGCCAAGGGAGGTCCAGAACGGGAGAGAGTTTGCAATTTTATTTTTGTTTGTTTTGAGATAGGGTCTTGCTATGTAGTTCAGGCTGGCCTGTGACCTTCCTGCCTCAGCCTGTAGAGTGCTGGGTAGTTGGCGGTTTTAACCAGTCACCAGGGACAACTGCAGTGAACACAGACACAGACAATATCTTACTGAGCCTCACATTACAGGCAGCCAACAGGCTGTGCTCCCGTATCACACTAAGTTGCACAGGCTGAGTAGGCTACTGTGGTGACAGTTAAAGAGCTTGCCACATGGAGGGAGCTGCTAAAAATCTCCATTTCAGTGCAGCTGGAGAAACTCAACATCAGCACCAGTGCTCCAAACCCTCAGACTCTGGGCTCTGTGCCTGTTCTCTCTTCTGGTTGTACGACACTCCTTAGTTTCTCTGGGCCCCAGTTTACCTCTAAAACAGGAATGATGCATTACATTTCACCTACCTATTAGGTTTCTGTGGAAACACATTTCTGAGTTGTCAGGTGACACCTAAATATTAGTAATTATTGTTAAGGATGAGAGCCTGGGACGAATGACGAATGGGCTGATTTGAACAGATGGTGATGGATTTTAAAGTCATCACTCCTTTGTTATCAAGACAGCTTACATTTGGATGCTGAATTTTGTGACCTGGAGTCTGGTCCTGGGCTGGGTGCTGGGTGCTGAAGCTGATGAGGGTGCAGGGCTCTGTCCCAACCTACCCAGGAGTGCGGACTGCCCCTGGCCCTGTGCCAGAACAGAGGCTTGAGCGGCCTGGCAGCTGCCTGCACGGTGGCCCTCCGACCCGGGCTTTAGACAAGTGACAGTTACCAGGCTGATCTGTGGGTGGCTTTTAAATTTTTCATAGTCGTTCTTGCTCATGGAAACAAAGATGTCTGCCAGTATTCCCAGTGATGCGGAGAGGCCCTGCAGGGAGACAGACGGTTGGGCTGCTGAGTGCGCGAGCTCTGCCCCAGGCCACGGCCACCTCTCTGTGCATTGTTTGCACTTATTATTATCATTGTTATCACTCTTACTGTAACACTGGAGATACCTTTGACTGGATGTCACTGAGGCTGAAAGCTCCTCACACCTGAACATAGTGTGGACCGACTGCAAACACAGCTATTGTTTGTCAGGCTTCCCTGGAGTATCAGCTTGAGCCTGTCCACTGTGCTAGGCATGGACCATTGGGCCAAGAGTGAGAACTCACACTTTGCTCTATGTTGTAAGGGACTGCAGCAGATGCAGCTCCAGGAAACGGAATAAATAAACTGGGGCTTCAGGTATTAGGAGAATATTCCTACAAATTACACAGAATGAAAATGCCAAGTAGAAAAGCAAAGGATGCTTCTCAATTTCTTTTCTTTTCTGAGACAGGGTCTTGTTATATGGCTCAGGTTGGCCTTGACTTCATTATGTATGGCACGCTGGCCTCAAACTTGCTGTGATCCTTCTGCCTCAGCCTCCTGAGTGCTGAGATTACAGGTGTGCACCACCACGCCCACCTCTCAATTTCTTAAGGATGCTACACAAACAATTAATTGGAGTCTTTGCCTGCCCAACTCAAGAAAATTGATTATAAACAAATATAAGCAACATGTCCATTTCAACTTTGCTAAGGAATCAAAAGGCTAAATGTACAATAAAATAGAAGAATAGACAAGAAGAGGGAACTATGTAAACGCAAATGACTACAGAAATGCTAACTATGTGCCAACAGTCTAACAGCAGTGAGTGGAGCAGACAGAAGAAAGTTACTGTGATCACACAGCATGCAAACAGAGCTGGTGGAGCTGATATGCAGTGCAGCGAGTTGTGCCACAGGAGAGAACCACACAAAGACACATCTAGAGGGGAAGGAAGTGCCAGATGAGCAACCTTTTTATCCGGCTGAGGAAGCATCATGTATCCAGAGATCGAGGCCCATATCAGCTCTGCAGCTTCGTACCACATGCCTGCAGGGGAGGTGGATGGCACCATGAGACTGAACTCGAGGGAACTGGGAGAAGAGTCCCTGATCCCACTAGAAGAGCTCAGGGCTACATTAGATTGACACAGCATTCACCTTTCCAGTCGGTTTAATACAGATAATGTTATTTACTTCACTTGGGACAGTAAGAATTATTATATATTTTGTATGTAACATATAACATATAGTTATTCCCATAATTTAAGAGGACAGTACTTAGCATCTTCTGTTAGCATTTTCCAACCCTAGGGCTGGGGCTGGAGCTCTATCATGCATGAGGCCTTGAGTTTAATATCAGCACGTAACAAAAATTTAAACCATTTAGCTTGTACTTTAAAGCATAATTAGAGTCTGTAAACTTTGCTTGAAAAATTCATATTACCTCAAAAAATGAACCCATGAGGTGTATGCTGGATTTAGAACAGGGAGTTACCATGTCATACAAAATTTTGCTCAGCTGTGCCAGAAGCTAGGAATAAATAGGGAGAACACTGCTTAACAGCCACAATATACAACTGTAAATTTCTCTAACAAAATCCCATAGGAAAAATATTTTTGTTTGTTTGGGTTTTTTTGGTATTGGGGATCGAACTTGGGACCTTGTGCTTGCAAGGCAGGCGCTGGAACCACTGAGCTAAATCCCCAGCCCCAAAATCATAATTTTTTTTTGGTACCAGGGATCGAACTCAGGACCTTGCACTTGGGAGGCAGACAGCAGAACCACTGAGCTAAATCCCTGCCCCTAGGAAAAATATTTTGTTTTATTAATATTCATAATATGTCTGTCATGTTTTGCTTAAAAACAAACAAACAAACAAACAAACAGTGTCTCCGAATGCTGCCCAGGCTGGCCTTGAATTCCTGGCCTCCAACAATCCTCTGGCCTCAGCTTCCCGAGTAGCTGGGATTACAGGCAGGTACCACCACCCCCAGCTTAGCTCCTGGGATCTTAAATTTCATTCTTTTCAAGAAGGACTCTAAAGGAAGTGAGGATCAACAGTTTTGCCAGAGACAATAAAATAATTCTACAGTAAAATCTGTGGCCTGCTGAGGAGGCGTGGGGCCAGTACCAAGCTTTTGCAGAATTTGGCCTCTAATCTGTATGCAGACGGACTGCACCAGCACCTTGTCACTTTCCTTTTGGTAGCGCCAGGTACCTACAACAAGCGAAGAAAACAGTGTTAAAAGACTTCCTACGGGAACAGCCTGGTAAGATAACCTGTTTCATAGACCCCAGGGACTTGGATCTGAGAGACCTTGCATCGCTACCCTGAGCTGGGTCCAGGCCGAGGCCCTGGCATCCTCATCCCCTCCGGCCCCTCGGCTGACGTCCCTGCTGTAGCCTCCTCCTCGGGGCTGCCTCACAGACGGCAGGACCCCCCTCACCATTGGCTTGGATGCAAAACTGGTGACCCTGCGCACAGACCGAGAGGGTAGGAGAGGGCAGCTCCCACAGGGACTTCCAGGTCTCAGGATCACGGTGTTGGGAGAAAAGCGCTGGCGAGTTAGGACAGCTTGTGATGACCAGCCTTTACAGAGAAACAAACCTATCCAGTGCAGGGCAGAAGAGGCCAAAGAAGGCCTCAGCCTGAGGGTGCGACTCAATTACAACCCCACACGGATTCTTTTGCCACAGGCACTGTTTTCTTCCTAGCTCTTAAATTGTGTATGAGTGTGCATAGGGTGAAGATGGCAAGTGTGTGTAAAGGTGTGATAAAAACACGTGTATTTAAATTTTAAAAAATTTTATTACAGTAAAAGACACATTGCCATGAGCCCTGGGAGTGTCTTTAGCTGCGCTGTCCTGGCTGCCTCGATGTCCCAAATCAACTTAAATGCTTCCTTTCGTGGTCATTTTGACTTTGGGGGAAGAGCCAGAGTCACACGGTGCCAGATCCGGTGAAGAAAGTGGGTGAGGACACCATGGTTTTTACAAGTCTGCCTTTCCCTAAGAGGGCACCAGGAGCAGCTGTCTCTGTATTTTCGGTTGGATGTCTTAAGACACTCACAGAGAGGACTTCCGGAACTGCTTCAGAAAGTGGCGACAAGTGTGATCGAAGTGAGAGGGAGGACTGTGAGGGGATTCATGGCACTGTGTCCTTTACTGCAGTAACTTTTAAAATTTAAATCTTCACTTAGTTTTCGATCCCCTCTTGGGTTGGAGCCTAGCGATGGTGGCCGTGGAGGAGGGGTGTCCAGCCGACAGCTGTGTTCCACACGGTTCCCTTCCGGTAACACCCAGAAGTCTCAAGGGGCATGGGACCTTCCACCCTCCATACTGAGCTCCAAGTCCCCTGGAAACTGCTCAGCATTTGGAAAACCTGTTGACTTAGATGCCCAGAAATTTCAACAAGACAGCTGAGGGCTTAAATGATCTACTTAATACCCCTTTGGACCTGCTTCCTTTCTTGTATGATTGTATAGTGAAAGAAAATCCATTTCAAAATAACTCTGCTTTACAGTTCTTACATAGCAAAATAAAACTAATTTTCCAGACCACTTAAATACACACAGCCGTACATGCTCCTCTGACTTTTAGGCTTTTATTCCCATTCCTGATTTGTTTGTTTGGTTTCTTGAGACAGGGTCTCGCTATGTAGCCCAGGCTGGCCTTGAACTTGCATGGATCCTCCTGCCTCAGCCTGCAGAGGGCTGCAATTACAGGTCACCACACCTGATTAATCCCACTTCTTCTAAAGGCTGCTTCTGAGCCCTTTCTGAGGCATCCTCAGTCATCGTCCACTAGGGAATAGTGTATGATCTATCCCAGAGCAGAGAAGCACTAAATGCCTTGCTTTTGTGTTGTTTTTGGGACCAGAGAACACAAAAACACAGAGAAGTAGGATGTTCCACTCAGGTCCTTCACCCACCACCAGTGCCTGTCCCGGCTGCTGTGCACTATCAGTGCACTGCGCTATGAGACCAGGTGTGCAGGACCGGGTGGCCCAAGGGGTCAGACTCCAGCCACTGACCTGTCGCTCCGCTGTTGCTGATGAGGCTGCTCAGGATATACTCTGCTTTCGAGAGCTTCCCTGTGAAGACAAGGCCCAGGATGTTAGTTCGGGGTGGACTGGAATCTCCACATGCAGCCCGCGCTCGATGACTGTTGCATCACAACAGGGACCTTGACCTCTGTCGGAAATGTTTCTATTTTAAAATTTACAATCAGTAACTATGTCAGATATAAAACTGGAGAAGAAAGGAAGCTTTCAGGAGACATTAAGTGGGAAGTTGTTAGAGTATCTGAAATGGCCATGAGACTCAGATATGTGTGCATGTAGGTGTGTGTATACATACGTGTGACAATTCGCTCCTGTGGAGCAGGGCTTGAGTGACAGAGGCTGGTCTCCTGCCTGTGAAAGCTGTACCTCTGAGGTAGAGTTGTCCACAAACAGAACGATTCAGAGTCATCACAGGGGGACTCGGCCGCAGGAGAGCTCTGGGGTTTTTGGAAAGTGATTTGCTTACTGTGGTTGCCACCCCACAGGAAGAGCCTTGTCCATGGACAGCTGTTGTCCACAGACAATGAACTCTGCCATTTGTTCTTGTAACCATCCTTCTCCCCAGTGCCTCTAGCCCAGCATGACCTCTAAAGGTTCTTTCCCTCTCTGCTACTCCCTCTACGTCAGTCACAGCGGCCTCCTTCTCTGTCCCTGGAGGCTGCCATCTTGTTTTCACTTTCCGACTTCATCCCTACTTTTATCTTGGTCTGGAATACCTGGATACCACGGTCCCAACTACCACTGCTGGGGTTGATCTTGTCAACAAGACTGGATTGAGAGACACTTCTGGGTGTTCTGTGAGGTGGTTCTGGAGACCAGAACCTGCTTCCTACTCTTCCCTCAGGGTCCTGGGCACACGATGGCCAGGACACAGCACTCTGAGGTTGCTAAGTGTTGGCTCCCTCATGTCCCAAACATAAACGCTACCAAGGGCACTTGAGAGAAGATTCTTCCCTAAGTCCAACTCTGCTCCCGTAGTTACCCTAGCAAAGTCAAGAACAAGTCAGGGGCGGAATTTCTGTGCAGTTGTGAGAACTTGAAAGTAAGTGCACTTGGGCTTTCAAGAGTAGCCTCCTGGGCCCTTTTCTTCATGTGCTTTTATCTTTGTCCCTTCTGCATCCAGCAGTCAGGACAGTTCCTTTTCAAAGGAATTGAAGTAGATTTAAACCTCTTCCAGACCAGAGTTATGAAAATAGTAGAGGGAGCTAAGCCAGTCAGAAAGTTCTGTTTCCAGGAGAGACAACTGGCTCTCTCTCGGCTGCGGTCTATCGTTCCTGCACAGCAAGCTGCACGTTTCTCAGTCTCATGGCCACGGCTAAGTAAATAACTCCGGATAGCACGCCGCGGTCCCTGCAGCCTGGCTGGCAGCCCCCTTTCTCGCTCGCTCCATTCAGAGTGACATGGGGAGAAAAGATACTCTGGGAGCTAATCAGGTAGCGCGTCGGTGTCCGCCAGTGGGCTGTCAGCACCACTGTCAGCCTCGTCAAGTGGCCCTGCAGAAGGGAGCCAGGGCAGGAGCAGGAGAATTCTAATCTGCTTTGTAAGGGCTCTTGGTCAGGGGTATGGCAATTCAGACACCCCTGTTCGGAAGCAGCAGGGCAGATTTGTTAGAAGACAAAGGCTCCAATTAGTATTTTCCACACCCTTTCACAATTTTCTCTAGTGCTTTTGGCTCTGAAACCCTTTATACCAGGGCTTTTGTGCTGGCAGCGAGGCGGGTGGAAGGGCGCGGGGCGGCGGCTCGGGGTCAAGTGCGGGGCGGGCGTCGCACCCACCTGCGCCGGCGGAGACGCGCGCCTGGCGGATCAGCAGCTGCGGCGCGATGGGCGTGCGGGGCTCCAGGCGGTGCAGGGCCCGCGCCACGCGCAGGAGGCCGCGCGAGCCGTCGCGCCCGTAGAGCACGCGGTCCAGCAGGAAGGCTTCGGCCGCGGCCGCTGCGCAGTCCCGGGCCGTGATGGAGGCGCGCAGGGCGGCCTGCGGGGAGCGGGCGGTCAGGGGCGCTCGGGCTCCGGGCGGCAGGCGCCGAAGGAGGCCCCGGGGGTGTTCGCGGGTCCCCGTTACAGGCTGGGCCTGCGGCCGCCTCTGCCTCTCCCCGCCCTCTCGGCCTCCTCTCCTCACGCTGCTCACCACCGCCCGCCTCTTCTCTCCTGAGAGAATCACCCAGGTGTCTCACCGGGCCGACCAGAGCACCGTGCCCCTCAGCAGGCCTGGCCTGCGCCTTACGCTGGACGCCCTCGCAGGTCCGGGCACTCAGCGCGTGGCTGTCGGCGTGTGCGTGCGTGCGCGTGCGCGTGCGCCTGTGTCACGCGCCTCATGATCCGCGGCACCGCGCGCACAGCATAAATTCACACTTTCGCGTGTTCTTCCGGGAGTGCCTGTCGGTAGCCGCCACGATAATCCTTTTTTAAAAACGAGAATTTCTTACCTCGCTAAGACTCGCACCCTCAGTGTGTTTATTAAGTGTCTCGGTCACTTTCTCATCACTGGGACGCAATACCTGACATAATACCTGACCGCAGAGGTTCCTTTTGCGTTTGGTCTCATCCCGAAGGCCGAGAGGTGGCTAGGAGAGGCTTGTTTCGGCTCAGTTTAGGCCTGGTCAGCAGGCGGCGGAAGGGCCTGGGCAGGGGGCAGCCACGGCCACGAGGCGAGAAGCGGGGAGCAGCGAGAGGGACCCCGCTTTCAGGGTGCACAGGACCCGTCCTCCCGGGCCCTCGGACCGGGCGGTTGGTGAGCATGGTGCCCAGTCCCGCCCCTTCCAAACGCGTGAGACCTGGAGGGGACGTTTTAGACGCACACCGGAGCAGTAAGTACGGAGAGTGGTGATTTTCATGAACTTGCCGTTCCAATCCAGTCGCTGCCCGTTTTGGGACAAAGACGCCGGGTGTTGGGGATCCCGGGTCTCCTCTCAGGACTTGCTCCCGGCCCGTCCCTTTGCTCACCCTGTGCTTGAGCGGTGGCTGATCTGATTGGTAAGTCTGTAGCTGTGCGCCTCCCGTTGTTTCCCTTGGGAACAAGCTGTATAAAGGACACAGGGTCTTTTCTGCTCTTCTATATCCCATCTTACCTGGTAAGCCACCGTGTATGGGGTGCTCTGGTAACTCAGTAATTACTGCGTGTGGAAGTTGACATAATTTTGGAAGTCACCTCACAGATCTCCTGGTCCTAGTTTGAACCTTTATCATCCAATTTTCTCTTTAACTGGGTTAAATGAAATGTTTAATTTCTTGTGTCTCTAACTCTTCAGTTTTACTTCTCAGTTTGCTCACAGTCCAGGAAAGAAAGAAGTATTATATAGTGCATCCTTCCAAAAACCCTGATGGGAATCCTCATCTTTCTACAGCACACCATAACCCACAGCCCACTCAAAACTCTAAATAAAAACGGAAGCTGAGGCTGAGAGGTTGAAGTGACTTTCTAGAGTTACAGAATCAGGAGAGCAGAGCCAGGCAGGCGTTCAAGTCACTCATGTTCTCTCTGTATATATAAAATTGTGGTCAGAAACACATTAAATTTTCCATTAGTCACTCTGAAGTGTACATTTCAGTCCTGTTAAGTATATTCACACTGTAGTGAGGCAGATCTCCAGAATTCTTTCTTCTTGCAAATTTGAAACTCAATGCCCATGAACATCGCTTCCACCCCAAATTCTGACAACCCACCCTACCTCCTGTTTCTGTGAGTTCATTACTTTAGATAGCTCATATGCGGGGACTCATACTGCATTCATCTTCTGTGACTGGCCCACTCTGTTTAGCACGATGCCTTCACAGCCCTTTCGTACTGCAGCCGGTGACAGAATTTCCTGTCTTTTAAAAGTTGAGGAATAAGATGTTATCTCTGGGCTACTTCAGCTTCTTGGCTGTTGTGAATGATGCTGTCTTGCAAACAGGTGTGGAAATACTTCTTTGAAACCCTGCTTTCCACTCCCTTGGGTATATACCCAGAGGTGGAATTGCTGGATCATCTGAGAATTAATTTTTAAGTGTTTGAGGAACCTCCATAGAGCTTGCTTGCGCCTCTCTACAACCCTGTCGGTGGGGTTCCTTTTTCTTCCCATCGTTGGGACCTGCACCTCTCCCCCTGTGTCTGATCAAGGTACCTGGAGTCTAGGAAGGCTTTGGAGAGAAGGCTGAACTCACTAGTGAGTCTAGACAGAGGGGTTAAGGACCCCATATTCTTCCCTATGAGAAATTCTATGAAAATAGAATTTCATGAGATAAAATAGAACTATGAGAAAATTCTAAGAAAATAAAGAAATAAAAACATTTCAGTGAAGAGTGGCCTTAATTCCAGGGCTTTGAAATTCACTAGTAAAAGCTCACACCTGGAGAGTGAGTGCTCTGGGGCTGGGAAGATTTCCAGGTCCAGAGAGGCTCTCCCGAGGCTGCTGAGCTGGGAGGACAGAGCTCACAGAGCAGAGCACAGAAGGACAGAAGAGTACAGAAGGATGGAGCACACAGAGCAAGAAGTTCGGGCTCTGCAGAGTGTGACACTATGTCTTCTGCAGAATCCTCGTCAGCTCAGCATGGAGAGAAGCCACGCAGGGGAAAGAATCACCTGAAAGGAGCAGAGGAATTATGCTGGACCTCGAGCTGCAAGGGTTCCCCAGCCACTGTGAAAGTCCTGTTTTTCCAGGGCCTAGGATGGGGTGCTGGCCAGCTACTGCTGCCACAGGAACACAAATGAGCCTCCTAGTAAAACTGTCTGTTCTGACTCTCAAAGTTTAGAAGCAACCTTCAGCAGGATCAAACTGTTTCCTAGGTTGACTGAGTCCCAGAGCAAGGCTCAAGAATGTTTACAGGCACACAAATGTCCACCCTCCAATAAATGAGAGTTTTGCAATACTGTCATGGAGTAAAAAATTCCTGGTTATGAAAGAAGTCCATGTTGCCTGGGAAAATAAATCTATAGAAAGTGATCCCCAAGTAGTTACCATAACTTTATTTTTTATGTTCTAGGAGGTATTGTAAAAATTAGGTATATAAAGTAGAGACATGAAAGATATAAAAAATAATCAAAATCAAACT